TTTTTTTCTTTGACAGAAGTACAGAGCTAGAGAAATGCTCTCAATATAAATTATGGCATCAACATGGAGAGATGGTTTTTATGACTCCCAAAACAAATGTGCACGTGAAACTGCTTGGTACAAAACCAGGTGAAAACCTTGCATGTAGAAAATCTCTGATTGGTCATTCATCACCTACTGTGCCCATCGTACATAACACTGGACTCAAATTATATGAGTTGTATGGATTTGAACAGAAGCTCTCTAACTGTAACAGACATGGGAAAACCTTCACTGACTTCCAGTCCTTACAGAAGCATGCAAAGACAAATCCTAAAGAAAAAGCATATGGATATAAACAATGTGGAATATCCTACTCTGATTGCACTGAAGGAAGTAACAATGAAGAGAAAGCTTTTGTGTATAAGCAGGATGTCAGAGCCTTCAGTATATACAACTATGTTCAAATTCAGGAAAGAAATCCCAGTAAAGGGAATACCTATATATGTATACAACATAAAAAATGTTTATATTCTTACCAAGATATTCACAAACATGAAAGCGCTCTCACTGGGACAAAATCATACATATATAACCACAGTTGGAAATCCTTAAATAGTAGCACTTCATTTGGTAAACATGAAAGAAGTCACACTGGGGAAAAACTCTGTGTATGTAAACAATGTGGAAAATCTTTCCAAACACAGAGACATCGTCAAAGACATGAACGAATTCACACTATGGAGAAACCCTGTGTATGCAAGCAATGTGGGAAAGCTTTCAGAACACACAGTTACTGTCTAATACATGAAAGGAACCACAGTGGGGGGAAACATTATGTATGTAAACAATGTGGGAAAGGTTTCAGTACTCTCAGTATATGTAAAAGTCATGAAAGGACTCATAGTCGGGGAAGACCCTATGTCTGTAAACAATGTGGGAAAGCTTTCACTAAACTCAATTACTGTAAAATACATGAAAGGATTCACACTGGGGAGAAACCTTATGTGTATAAACACTGTGGGAAAGCTTTCAGGACACACAGTTATTGTCAAACACATGAAAGTATTCACACTGGGGAGAAACCTTATATATGTAAACAGTGTGGCAAAGCTTTCAGCACACGCACTTATTGTGTAAGGCATGAAAGGACCCACACTGGAGAGAAACCTTATGTATGTAAGCAATGTGGGAAAGCCTTCACTACCCACAGTTATTGTCAAACACATGAAATGACTCACAGTGGAGAAAAACCCTATGTAGGTAAGCAGTGTGGGAAAGCTTTTGCCAGAAACAGTCATTGTCAAGAACATGAAAGGACTCACACTGGGGAGAAACGCTATGTATGTAAATATTGTAGGAAAGTTTCATCACTCACATCTATTGTCAAAGACATGAAAGGGCCCACACTGGGGACAAACTTTATGTTTGTAAGCACTGTGGAAAAGGTTTCATGACACCCAGTCATTGTAAAACACATGAAATGACTCACAGCAAAGAGAAACCTTATGTATGTAAGCAGTGTGGCAAGGCTTTCAGAACACAAAGTTATTGTCGAATACATGAAAGGACTCACACTGGGTAGAAACCTGATGTACGTAAGTAATGTGGGAAAACTCAGCACCACAGTAATTGTCAAATACATGGAAGGACTCACAGTGGGGAGAAACCCTGTGCATTTAAGTAATGTGGGAACGCTTTCGGCACATATAGCAATTGCCAAAACCCTGAAAGGAATCACACAGTGTTGAACCCTGTCTATGTTAACAATATGGAAAAACATTCAGTTACCCTAGGAATTGTAGGCATTTGAAAACTTAAGAAAGTTTCAAACGTATAAAGTGACAGTGACATGAAAGGACAGTACAGAGAAGCCCTTTCTGTGTATGCAGTATAAGAAAATCAGCACACAGGTAATATTACATACCTGAAGGAAATCAAGCATAGAGACTCTGAACATTCATGAATAATGTGGGAAATGTTTTATCTTTCTCGGCATTCCAGTTTATGAAAGAATTCATATGCGAGGGAGGTCATATGTGTGCTTAAATATGGGAAACCCATTTTTCCACTTACCATGAAAATCATGGAAGAGCTCCCACTGAAGAGGAAGCCAGGGCTGGGGTGATAGCTCAGTGGAATAAGCACTTTCCTGGCAAGCGCAAGGGCCTGAGTTCAATCCCCGATTTTGAAGGAAAAAAAAAAAAAAACCTATTTAAATAATGTGTGAAGGCTTTGTACGCTTGTCATAGCAGAAAAAAAGTGCATAAATTCAAAATGAGACTTAATATAAATATGAAATAGTTAAGAATCAAGTTAACAGAGACCAAGAGAGTTGTGTTAGGAGTGAGATACACTGTGTTGAAGCACATATTCAGAAACAGTCTTCCAATATATTTATGGAAACTGATGAGTTTGGTAAGTGCCTAATAATGTTAAGTTCAGAATGAAAAAGCACATTTGTGTCCAAGTCTTCAGTACATGGCCTTTAAGGGACATTTAACAGGCAAACCATCACCTTAGCTGTATGGATAATGTGAAGTTTATTCATATAATGAAATTTTTTGAGTCATAAAAGAAAGTAAAGCCTTCATTTATGACAAGGTAGAGTAACAAGGTCCTTACATGAAATATGCCACAAGTACAAAAATGAAAACTAGATCGCATTGATTTTAATATTTAAATTTAGCAACTTTAAAGAAATAGAGTTTAGTGAAGGTTGCCACATGTAGGTGGAGAAGTTGAGAGATGCTAATGAGAAAGCACAAGGTTTCCCTTATAAAGTAGAAATTCTAGATCTCAAAGTGACTACCATGAGTGATGCAATGCCACATAGCATCGCAATTTGATGAAATTAGTTTGCAGTTTTTTTCTGAATATATGCAAAAGATGATTGTATTAGATGATGCAAATGCTATGCAAGGAACAATATGATAATTTCACAATATAAACAGCAACAGATTTACTATACACTATCAATTTATGAGTTTGCTTTTTGTTTCATGAGACAAACACAAAGTTAGAAAATAACATGACAGTGGTAAAATGTAACTTAATTTCTACTGTGTTGATTTCTGAAAGTATTCAGTGTTGGTCAGAAGACTATGGAATATTGTTAAACTAAAACTATTCTGTATTGTAGTAAAATTTATACTTGGTTAATGGGCAATGTAAAATAATTTTTGAGGATATATTTTAGAAACAATTGACATCATGAGCTCAGTTCATCTCATTTTGACAAAAAAATTTATGTGTTTGTGTATTCAGAAAACTTGTTACATTTTTTGATTTTTGGTGGGGTTTTTTGGCTTGTTTGTTTGATTGAACTCAACTATGTTTTAAAAGCACTGACAATTGTTTAATTCTGTTAATGTATCTTAAATTTATCCTTTTTTTGGACAAGTAGTATTCTATTATGTGTTATGCCATATTTTCTTTATCTCTTCATAGAAATATACCAGTACACAGAGAGACAGTTCTTTGGCAAATGAGAGGAGATCTGGAAGCCAAAGATGGAAGCAGAGGATATAAAAAGATTTGATGTCAGGTACCGACTCTCCACAATGAATACAACTTTTATATGTCACAAACATGAACTAAACAATGATAATTACATGAATAATGATAAGGAGGATGAAATGGAGAAAAGAGACCTGGAACCAAAGGGAAGATGTTGAGTGAGGAAAAGGAAAATCATAAGAATCAAAAACTCAAATATATATGACTGTTCCTAAAATGAATGTGAACATGTATTTCAAAGATGTAATCATTGAAGAGCTTAATGCTTATTTTTATTTTTTTTCACATTGAACATTTTTTTTTTTTTTGTGAAGTGGTTGTTAACAAGAGTATGTAAGCTCAGGATCCGAACTAGAAGTGCTTTCATTTGAAAGTTTTGCAGCTTAGTTGTATGTCATGTAGTGAGGAGTATCACTGAATTTGGCATAAGACTTAATGACCTTATTTACAGCTTCTAAGAAATCCTTTTCAGTTGCAGTTTTTTGCCATGCTCGGATTGCAAACATACCCGCTTCTGTGCAGACACTTCTAATTTTTTTTTTTTTTTTTGGCAGAACCGGGGATTGAACTCAGGCCCTTGAGCTTGCCAGAGAAGCACTTATTCCACTGAGCCATCTCCCCAGCCCCCCGACACTTCTAATTTTGGCACCAGTGCTATCTGGATACAGTCGAGCTAGCAATTCAAACCGGATATCTCTTACAACACTCAGTGAACAAGCAGGAATTTTAAAGATATGAGTCCGACCCTCTAAATCAGGTAAACTGAATTCAATCTTTCTGTCCAATCTCCCCGGCCTCATCAGCACCGGATCCAAAGTATCAGGTCTGTTAGTGGCCATCAGCACCTTGATGTTCCCTCAACGGTCAAAGCCATCTAGCTGGTTGATCAGCTCCAACATGGTTCTCTGCACTTCATTGTCACTACTAGCACCATCATCAAACCAGGCCCCTCCAATGGCATTGATTTCATCGAAGAAGATAAGGCAGGCTTTTTTGTTCTGGCCATTTCAAAGAGCTCACAAACCATTCGAGCCCCCTCCCCAATGTATTTCTGTACAAGCTCGGAGCCGATAACTCGGATGAAGCAAGTGTCAGTCTTGTTGGCAACTGCCCTGGCACACAGGGTCTTGCCTGTGCCTGGAGGGCCAAAGAACAGCATGCCCTTGGGAGGCTTGATGCCCAGGTTAACAAACTGCTCTGGATGAAGTAGTGGGGTTTCAACTACTTCTCACGATTTCTCGATCTGTTCCTTACACCCACCAACATCACTGTACATGACACCAGGTTTTTCCTCCACCTGCGTCATGGTAACTGGTAGGTCAATCTTAGGAGGCAGGGGAATGTGAATTTGATGCTTATTTCTGTCCACACCAACTCTCATGCCTTCTTCAATGTCAATAGGTGCCACCTGATCACTGAGACCCACCACAAACTTGGCAAACTGCTTCACATTGATAATATATTTTGGGTCCTCTGAATCAGCATTGATTATCTTCGTACACCTTGCCACCTGCAGAGGCTGCTCGCTTTGCAGAGTCTGCTTATCTGTAGCCAGATCCCAGAGTGCCGGGGGTGCCAGGCCAGTGTCAGACTCTTTAATACCAGTGAGCTCATTAATTTTCTTGAGAACCTCTTCTGCCTCAGTCTGCCATCGAGTGCGTGCTCTCGCCTCCTACCCGCACCATGTCTTCTCACAAGACTTTCAGAATCAAACGATTCCTGGCCAAGAAGCAAAAGCAGAATCACCCATTCCGCAGTGGATTCGTATGAAGACAGGTAATAAAATCAGGTACAACTCCAAGAGGAGACACTGGAGGAGGACCAAGATAGGAGGGTAAGGAGTTGCACATGAGCTGCAACACATTTACATTCTGGGAGGTCACAAGACGATGTCATCTTTTAATCATGGTCAAGACAATACTGAATAAAGTTTTAAAAATAATCATCGCCCGGACAGTGGAAATACTTAATCAGGAATCTTTTATTTTCCTTCTGTGCTCAGTGCTATTAAGTCAATACATTTTTGAAACCTTAAAAAAAATTTTTTTTCTTGAGAAGTTGTTGAATGTCATCTTCAACCTGCTTGATCTGTCTGGAATATGTGCTTTGACCATAAGTTTTCAGCAAAGCAATCTCCCCCGCATCCAGAGCTTGGATGGGCATGTCATCCTTCTCATCCTCTTTGGTTTTCCGCTGATCGGCGCCCAGGTAATCGGGCATTTTAGGAGATGCTAGCGCCTCAGCTCATCGGTGATTACACAGCACCTTCCTCGCTTCTGACTGTGCCTTCCCTTTTTCAAGCTTAATGTTTAAATACTTAAATATTTAGAGAAGCTTCTATTTTCTGCTTCCTAAAGATGATAGATGTATTGAAAATATATAAAGATGCCTTTGCAACTCTGGGAACCAACCTTCATGTTGCAGGTTTCTTTAGTTTTGAATTCCATGTAAACATTTATATTTATCATAGGCTCCCACTATATGTATTGATACAGACTAATTTAAGCAGCAATCCATTGCATGCACTTCTTTTTCTTTTCTTTTGTATTTTTTAGTACAGGGTCTCACTATGTAGATAGGACTCATAGTGATTCTACTGTTTCCAGCTTTCCAAGCACTGCGATTATAGGCACACACCACCCAGCCCAATCAAAATCGCTGTCTCAGTACACCCCAGGGCTGGGGCCAGCACAGCGCTCCAGGGATCGAACCCTGGC